GTGACTCAGGCCAGGGCCATGAGCTGTTTCCTGCAGATGACCCCCTGATAACCAGGCCTGGGGTTAATTAAGACATCGCTCCCCCTATTAAAAGCAGATGGGAAGAAGATGGTGCATTCAATCAAGCCCCTTTCTCCTTCTCCTGCAGAATCTTGATTTGGACACTGGTTTTAATTGTCTTCCCAGCGAGCCCAGCTCTGCTTGGACCCTGGGGCTGGAGAACACAATTGCCTCCTTCTCAAAAATCTAAAATTACACCAGCCTCCCTGGGGACTGGTTGTGAGGCATTACGTGAACAGGGAGGGTGAGCCCAGGGGTGGGAAGAAGTCAAGGAGGAGAGACAGATTTTAGTGTCCCAAACTCAGCAGGGAGGCTGTCAGGTGCTCCGTATTTATTTCTTAAGAGACCATCATCATCGTCATCAAAATGATGTGGGTCACCTTCCAGTTTCTGGTGCTGATGCTGCGTCTTCATCACAGAATTAGCAGAGGGAGCAAGAACCTCTTGGCAATTAGAGCTGCCCACTTTCAGTGGCAGCAGGAGGAACTGAGCTCCCCATCTCTGGAGTGTGTGAGTGGGATGCAGAAATGTGGAGCCTGGTGGCTGAACTTTGCTTCATTAATTTAGACCAAATTCTGATGGGGGCTGATGGTCCCCTGGGTCTCGGTCACACCTGCTGGTTACACCTAGGTTCGCCTCCCCTGATGGCCTCGGGCTGGGTGAAATGCCTCCTCTGTATCTGCTCAGGCATTGGCACTCAGAATAAGACAGACTTCTCACCCTTTTCCACAGAAGAGGTCCTCTCTTGGACCTTACAGGGCAAAGCTGACCATTTTGGACTATTCCTTGTTAAGAAAGAGCCCTACCGCCAAAAAGAGTTTGAATTCTCTGGGAAGATCATGGCTTTGGGAGTCAGGCCATGGGTTCGAATCTAAGCTCTGCCATGTGGCTGTGGATTTGGAAGGGCTCCTGCCCTATCCTGGGCCTGCTGCCCGCTCTAAGCAATGGGAACACGCGAGGAGGTGGGGGGCTGAGGCTGGCACAGTCACCACTTGCTGTGACGCCCACCGTCCATGGCAGCTGAGCACTGGGAATGTGGCTAGCCTAAATTGAGATGTGTTGTAATCATGTAAAATACATGCTGGATTTCCATGACTTAGTACAAAAAAGAATGTAAAATCTCTCATGAATAATTTTTATACATGTTGAAATAACTTTTTAATATCTTGAGTTAAATAAAATAAGTGATTAAAATTAATTTCACCTGTTAAAAACTTTTTAGTTCCTTTTTTAAATATGCCTACAGAAAAGAAAAATTCCGTATGTGCCGCCTCGCATGTGTGGCTTGTGTTCTGTGTCTGTTGGACAGTGCCCCCTAGGTGACCATTACCGGGCTTCGGGTTGGAGGAGAGGTGACTGTGTGGTGAGGTTCTCCCTCAGGCTATAGAAGGGGTGGGGAGAGGGCCTGGGGCCTGACTTTGCTGACCCCTGGCTGCTGAGTAGCCCCTGGCCAGATTCTGCCCTCTCTGCACCTCTCTGCATCAGTGAGAAGAGCTGGTGGGCCAGGGTCAGGGTTTTCAGTCATTTGGTGCTTGTGTGGGGGGGCACCTTTGGGCAAGGGGAGGCTGAGTGAGGGTGGATGGAGACTGGCCCCTCCCCGGGTCACCTTGATGGGGCCCCACCCAAAGACAGCCCATCTCTGCCCTTCCTTCCACCCACGAGACCCACACACCCATCCTCTTGTCAGACAGATGTGCTCCCCTCCGCCCAGTCTCTGGGGGGAGAGGCACTGTGGCCGAGTCACACAGGCCCTGGTTCCAGCGCTGGCCCCGCCCTTCCCAGCTCAGTGATCCTGGGATGTGCAAGCCCCCCCAGGTAGTTCTGGACCCCCCTTTATCCATCTTCATGAGGGAAAATGGTAGGTACTTTCTGATCCCCGTGGGTCAGGCAGTGGCACCTGGAGGAAGTCAGCTGTGTCCCACTGTTTCTGGGTCAGGAGGGTCACACAGCTGGTTACCTCGGATCCAATAGGAGGCTCACCACTCTCCTCTTTCCCCCATTTGCAAAGGGTGCTGGGTGGGCAGGGGCCTGGATCAAAGCAGAATCCAGCTGTCCCAGGGCCAGGGGCCAATGGGCCCCTGATCTCTGATCCCTTCCCAGCCCGCTCCTGGGGGCTCAGGTCCTCGATGGCCCCCTTCAGTCCTACTTGAGTTGGCAGGTTGGCATCAGGGAAGGCATGGAGGGCTGGGCCTGGACTCTCGGAGCGGGGCCCTCTTGGCCCTGGGCCTGTGCCACCACTGACCAGTCATGTCTGTCCATTCATTTATTCCAAAAGCATTGATTGAGCACTTACTATGTGCCAAACAGTGTTCTAGGGGCTGCGGCTATATCTATAGACAACACAAGCACCCCTGCTGCTTCCTGGAAGGGAGAGCAGACCGTAAACATACATGAAATAAGTACGTTTGCCGTGCTGTCCGAGACAGTAGCCGTTACCTACGGGTTGCTGTTTTCATTGATGTTTAAATCAATTAAAAGGAAGTAAGACTTAAAATTCAGTTCCTCATTCACACTAGCCATATTTCAGGTGCTCGGTGTGGCTGGAGGCTACTGTATTAGCTCAGATATGGAACATTTTCCTCGTTGCAGAAAGTTCTAGTGGACAGCACTCATAGTATGTTGGAAGGGAAGAGGGATTTGAAGCAGTGGGTTGGGGCCAGAGATGCAGTTTTAAATGAGATGGTCAGAGTAGGCCTCACCGAGGAGGTGGCATTTGAGCAGAGTCCTGAAGCAGGGGATGGAGGGAGCCATGTGGGAATCTGGAGGAAGAGTTTTCTAGGCAGAGGGAACAGCAGGTGCAAATGTCCTGAGGTAGGACCTCAGCTGGAATGTCCAAGGAACAACAAGGAGGCCATTGTGTTAGGAATGGAATAAGCAAAGGGAGAAGTAGAAGGTGACACCACAGGGACTGGCTTGAACATGGAGGGCCTCGTCAGCCATTGTGAAGGGTTTAGTTTTTTACTCTTAGGGTGAGGATGCCATGGAATTCTTGGGGGAAGAAGAAACAGGGCTTGATTTGTGTTTTGCCAAATTGCCTCTGGCAGCTGTGTTGAAAATAAATTGTTGGTGGCGGCAAGGAGGCCAGTGAGGAGGCTACTCCACTGTTACGGGTGAGGGATGGTGGTGGCTGTCCAGGTCAGGCATGGAAGTCGGGGGAAGGAGCCAGAATTGGGAGGTGTCCTGGAGGGAGGACCCGTGGGGTTCCCCAGAGACCAAATGAGGGTAGAAGAGAATCAGGGAGACAAGGGCGAATGTACAATTTTGGGCCCGGACACCTGGAAGGCAAAGGTGGGAGGGTGGATACCTTTTCCAGAAGCCCGTTGTGTTGATAAGGACAGTCCCAGCTTTCAGATGAGCACACACCATCCCTGGCACCCAAACAACATCCATCCTAATTAAACGGGCTCTGTTATGCAACAGCGACCAGTCCCTCCAAACCTCAGAGAACGTGGGCAGCCCTGAACCCATGACCTTGGAGACCAGGGACATACAGATGTTCTTTAAGTCCAGAAACTCGTTGCTGGAGTCAGGCTCCACCAGGAGACCCTCTGTGTACAGCAGAAGATGTGGGAGCTTGTTGGTCCCTCGGGATCATAGGAAGTGGGTAGAGGCAGGTGATCCCAGAGCAGGACCCCCTCCCTCAGTCAGAGCTCATCTTCCTTCTGCCCTGAACTGAGTAGGGCCAGGGGGGACCACTGGGGCTGCGAGATGGGTGTGTCTGCTCGCCGGATTGCGGTGCCTTGCAGGCTGCAGTGAGGACACGGGATGGGGGGACTGACAGAGGCAACATTCCCTGGGTGACCTGCTCGTTGCCAGGCATCTTTCCAGGGTGAGATAATCTCTCCTGAGAAGAGGAAAGAATTCTAATTATGTCTCAGGACAGTATTTGTTTGGAGAGACAGGCCATATGGTGGGGAACAGTGCTGGGACGCATTGAGTGGGGATTTGTTTTCTCATTTATCTGGTAGGGTGGGGGGGCAGGGGGTGGTGGGTAGGCTTCTGCTGGATCCAGGAAACTGCCAGCTCGAGGATTTGGAAGGGGGGCCAGGCTCTGCTGTGGGGACGGGAGGCACGTGTGGCTCCCACCACACCCTGGGGTCCCTGAGAGAATGGAGAATGTATCACCCATTGGGGGCACCTACTAGGTATAGCCACAGGATGCTCTGGTCCCTGCCCTCACGCAGCTGTGACAGGCAGTGCATGCAGAAAACAGATGCATGACCATGACCATGACCTGGGCAGGTGGAGGGTTGAAGGAATGCTTACCCTGGTGGTCAGAGAGGACCTCTCGGAGGGGGTCAAGTGTGAACTGAGCTTTGAGTGACTTGTCAGCCAAAGAGGGACCAAGGCAGAGCCATTCTAGGCCTTGGGAACAGGAGGGGCAAAAGTCAGGTAGGAAAGTGAGAAATGTTCACAGGACAGAATGGAGACCGGGGGAGGTGGGCGGGGCCTGACCCCCAACCAGGCGCCGTGGGAGAGTCAGGGGAGGGTTCTGAGCAGGAAGTGGCCAGGTCTGATTTGGTTTTACAAGAGGATACTGAATGCTGTGCATTGGGGGTGGGAATAACCCAGGGTGGGGGCAGCTGGAGAAATCTGGAAGAACTGATGAGGACGGCAGCTTCCTCCCCAGCCTCCTGGCTAACACCTTCCAACCAAGCCCTCCTCTGCTCCATCACCCCCTTCTCGAGAACCCCGTGGCACCCACAGGCTCCAGGGTGGGTCCTGGACCTACTCTTTTATCCCCGTGTTTTGCCAGCTGCTGCCACACACCCCCCTGCCCAGTCTTACGGAGCTTTTCCAGGTGCCCCACCTGAAGCCAGGCCATCCCACCTACAGGCCTGGCTGCTCCCGCGCTCCCCCTTCTCTGCCACCCACCAGCCCCAGCCCGCTGGCCCTGCCACTTCCTGAGCCCTGGCCCCTCCCCCGGTTTCTCCGCACAGCCCTGTTCACAGAGACGCCCCACGACATGACGGCGCGGACGGGCGAGGACGTGGAGATGGCCTGCTCCTTCCGTGGCAGCGGCTCCCCCTCCTACTCGCTGGAGATCCAGTGGTGGTACGTGCGGAGCCACAGGGACTGGACGGACAAGCAGGCATGGGCCTCAAACCAGGTACCACCCCTGGGGAGACTTTCTGAGTTGGGCTGGGAGACTCCCCCTCCCTGGGTAGGGGTGTGTCTGCCCCCCATCTCTTCCGAGGGGTGCGGGCTCCAGCTGCATTTATCCTCTGCAGCACCCAGCTGTCTCCCTGCCGTCTTCCTGAAATAGAGCCTGTTTTGAGGGGCAGAAAGCAGAGCTGGGCTGAGCATTTGGGGTGGGTGCAGCATGAAAGGCCCTCCAAAGGGACAGAGTACCCCCCTTCTTGTACAGGTGGGGAAACTTGAGGCAAGAGGGACGGAATCTGGCTCCAGTTTATGAGGCAAGATGGGTCTGGTGGCTTGCCGTCTCCAGGCCGCCCGGGCAGTTGTTTTGCAAAAAGGGCCTTGCAAATGTGGGGCAGCGCTGTTGCCAAGTTCCATCACGTGCTCGCTTGCAGTCATGCCCTTCCACAAACATGCAGACACACAAGGCACCCCAATCACAGCACAAGCATTCGTCTCTGCACAGGTGCATGCTCACACACACACACACACACACCCCCCATGGGGGCAGACGCTATCGGTGTCCCCATCCACATGCCAGGCAAGCACCATCCCCCGCTACCAGCCCCACTGCCAGTAGCCAACCTTCACAACACTGCCTGAAGGTTTTCTCTGGACAACAGAGTCTGCTGGCCAGCAGGGTAGGCTGGAGGAGTGCTCCACCAATGACTGGCAGGAGTTGGAGGATAAATACCCCTGCTCCCTCACCCCTCAGTTGGGAGAAGTGAAGAGCGTTCTACGCTCTTTCCCTGAGGTGCCTGGCAGGAGTAAGTTCCCGTTGCCCGTGGTGGCGACTGGCTTGATGACATCACCGACTTCCTTCCCTCTTTTGTCTCACTCACTCACTCCCCTCCTCACGTTCCCAGGATCACCGCCCAGATAAACCACTTGCACTTGAATCTTTGTCTCAAGGTCTGCTTCTGGGGGAACCCAAACTAAGATTCTCATTGTTACACTTGTGTATACACAAATATTGTGCAAACTCATACATAACTGCCCACCTGTTCACATATGAACACATACGTGACACACCCTCACACACAGGCACACTCACATGTTCTTGGCGTGTTCCATGAAATGGCCTCTAACATATTCACAAGTATGTTTTAAACTCATCTAGCTCCCTGGGGTGTCAACTCCCAGCATGCTGGCTTAGAGGACCCCCAGTAGTCAGAAAGCCCTTAGGCAAAGAGTTGAAAGCACATGCAGCGGGAAGCCTCGGGGGTTGGCTTGCAGGGAATGGCATGTGGGCAGGGCTCCGACAGCATGTGCTGCAGACACACCTGAAAACACAACACACTGACAGACAGAGAGACGGAAGTGTACAGACACTCCTACAGACACAACAAGCCAAATCACATGTTTGCCTGTTTGCACACACCCACCCCAAAACAGATCTCCAGATACCCTGCATAGCTGAATTCGGAGCATGTCCACAGTCAGTTTTACAAACACCTCCTTTATCTTCCTTTGCTCTGACTCACCCCATCCCCCGTGCAGACACAGAGCTGAGGGAGCCCCATCTCCATGGTCCCCAGAGCGTCACCCGCCATCGCGAGGAACTTAGCTGTTGCCCATATCCCCACCCCGTGATGCTAACGCCTTGTCTCTGCTTTCTCCACCCTCCCCTCCCAACAGCTAAAAGCATCTCAGCAGGAAGACGCAGGGAAGGACGCCACCAAAATAAGTGTGAGTTCTGATAATGGCTTCTCATAAGAGCGCTAATGGAGGACACAGCTGTAATTTGAAAAAAAATAAACAAAAAACAAAAACCAAAATTGGTCCAGTTCAGCAGGGAGCTTGGGCAAGAAGATGGAGGAGAAGGAAAAAGGAAGGAAAAAAAATGTCCCTGCTCTGGTTTTTAAAAGCCGGAGATTTTTCAAGTTCATTGAATGACAGGCGCAAACAAATGACAGGGGGAGAGAAGACACATTCTCTCCTGTCGGGGCCAAGGCTGTGTGCATCCCTGACGCTTCGTGTCTGTCTCAGCAGCATTTTTTATTTGGGGAACCAACAGGGTCTAATGAGACTGAGCCGGCTTTTTTGGGCCCGTCACAAATGACTGCTGCGGCATCTCATGGTCACTTGGGTCACCCGGCTCCGGCGTGAGGTGGGACAGGGGAATTGCAGCCGCCAGAGGACTTCAGGACTGGCCATGTCTCTTAATGCAGGGCCTCATTTTATTGTTGCCACATCGCTAGAAGGAAGGGCAAGTGTTGGCCTATTTCACAGGTAGGGCCACTGAGGCTTAGAGGGGGCAGAGCCTTGCTGGAGGCCGTGACTTGGCTGAGCTCCCTCAAGCTTTCTGTCTCCAGGCTATGTGGGAGTCCGGTGAGGCGGGGCACCCAGGGGACTCAGGGAGGGACAGCTTTTGTAGAGGAGGGAGCCCACAGCAGGGCCTGGAAGAGGCGGGCAGGAGAAAGGAGGCGAAAGGGGTTGAGTAGACGGGGACCGGCCTGGTGGCACCTGTGGCCTTGGGACCAGGCTGGCTCTGTGGGTGGGGTATGTGGTCGTTCTGGCAGGAGGCTAGAAATCCAGCAGCCACATGCTCAGAAAATGCAGATGCCCTCAGGGGTATGTGTAGGAATGACCTCCGAGTTCACTCTTGGCTGCTGCTCCTTCCAAAGCTCTTCAGGGACCGTGGGGGAGCTCAGGACCCCAGGGCCAGTTAGACACAGATGCACAGGGCAGCGCCCGAAGCAGAAGGCACGGTGTGAAGAGGGGGCACCGGGAGGCATGCGGTGTCATGCAGAGCGGAGGAAGGGAGGCCAGGGTGGGGGAGGGAGGCTCCCGCAGAGGCTCAGCCAGAGGTGGGCAGATGACAGAACAAGGGCCTTCAAAGCGTCATTTGTGCCATCTGCCCCGGGCCTTTCTGAGTTGGGGGTCTGGGAATTTGAACCATTTCCAGTGCAGGGCAGCTGCTGATTCCCCCACCCCGTACCCTTGGCCCCTAACTCTCATCCTCTGCCAAAGGCACAGCCATGCGTAAATCCTGTTTCTTGCCCAAACACCCACTGGTTAAGCCGGGGCGGGCAGAGATCTGGGTGTGTATTAATATACCCCCTTCACAGCAACTCTCTCGCCGATGATTTTGTTTGGGGTTTAAGGAGCATCTCAGGCAAAGGAGAGAATAATCTAATTGACTTAGAGGATTAGAATTCGAGGCTGCTGGGCCCCACGTGAGGGGAATGCAAAGATGTTACTTAGTTAAATAAAATAAAAGTGCTCTGTGTGATTGTGCAATCACCCCCCCCACGCCCAGCCCCCGCGATTCCTGCACCAGATGGAGCTCTGGGGGTCTGGTTAGGAGACTCACAGACAGGCAGAGACCTGGCTCCTCATGCAGACAGTGTCACACACGTGACGCCTTAAGTACACGGAAGTGCAGCCAGCAGACCTGTAAGCAGGGCACAGCCCGCATCCTGCAGCCTAGGAGAAGGCGTGAACTTTTCCCTGTGGCTTTCGAGGTTCTGTGTGACTCACTCTGCTCCCGCTCCGGGTTGTCTCATTTTGCCTGACCTGGCTCCCCTTCTCCCGACCCTGGCTGCCTCCCGTCTTCCATTCCTTCCCACCTCCTGGCGTTCACACAGCCCAGTCCCTCTGCCCAGAAAACCGTTCCTCCCTCTTTCAGAGCTGAGCTCAGCAAGCCTCCCTTGACCCTGTGACTCAGCCGGTGCCCCTTACTTTTCCCTGCTGGCTGCATTTCTGTCTGCACATCCATGCGTGTGAGCATGTTTCATGCCGGTCTTCCCTGGAGACAGTGGGGCTGGGGCTGTGCCTGCCTGATAGACTGTTACATTTCCAAGAGCCTGGCACAGTGCCTGGCAAGTAGTCAGTGCCCAATAAATATTTATCAAAAGACTGTCACACACACAAACACACCGAGGCCAATGGTGGTGTAAACCCAGACACAGATTTTGATACACAGACATGCAGACATGCCAACATGATGTGCATTGTGCCTGTACGTGTATGTGTACAGGGGATGTGAAGCCATAAGGGGCTTGTGGGAGCCAAACTGTGCAGTCTACCGGCTGGGCGGCATCAGCACTGGTGGGGGGGGTCTCAGGTTTTGGGGTGGAAGTACAGTCAGTTTCAAGGAGCTTGGTGAGGGCAGGGCTCTGTGATGGGCTCCGTGACCTCTTGGGGCCACCGTGGTAGCCCTGGGAAGGTTCAGAGCAGCCATGCTGAGTGCGGGGCAAGCTTGTGAGGATGCAGGGGGGCCAGTACTGAACATCCCAGGAGCTGGGTCCTGGTCCAGCTCTGCCCCCTCCCTGCACCTCTCACCCCCCCAACCCCCTCACTGCTGAAAACACTTTGGAAACTGTAAAGGCCTCTGGATTTGGCCGCGTGAATGACAGTGGTTACTAGAGTGGAAATTAAACATTAATTTGCAAGTCACATGACTCCTATTCCCAGCTTGGGGTGGGGGCGGTGGCTGGAGCAGGGAAGGGAGGTCCAGGCTCTCTGCTGGAAATGGGAGAGGGAATGAAAAGAGCTCAGAATCTCACAGGGAGATCGTTTATGTGGGAGGACAGGCATCTGTGATAATAATAATAATAAAATAATAAAGTAGCTCACATTTATTGAGTGCCTGCCATATGTCAGGAGCCACGAGGAGTACTTTGCATGAATTATCTCACTTACCTGGGGGCCTGGGGAAGGGCCCCTTGGCCTTAGACACATCTCCCTTGGGAGCTTGTATACGATGAGGATTCCACATCAGGGCCTCATTCCTGTGGCTCAGGCGAATTCTTCTGCTTATGGGCATTTTCCAGTTCTGGAAGTTTTTCTTTTGACCTAACCGAAGTTTTCTATTTTAGAATTTAGATGAATTTCCCCTTAGCCAGTGTTGCAAGTAGAGATGCTCCCTGACTTCCTAATTTTAAAATAAAGTGAAATTCTCCACACACACACCTTCTTTCTCAGGGGGCTCACCTGCCTTCATTGCTGTTAGTCCCTCCTTTGGTCTAACCAGAGTTGTTTGTGCTGTAGATTCAGTTCGTGTAACCTGTTTCAGTCCGAAACGGCCTTAGGCAGACTGGGTCCGCATATACGTGTAGTCCAGTGCTCTGGCCTGCTCATCCTAACCCCTGCCTCCTCTCCAGCCAAGCCCTAAAAGCCAGGTACAGCCAAAGAGGCCTCAGGACTCGTGTTGCAGCCCCCACCCCCAAATCTCCATAAACAGTGAAAAGGCAACAGCATTTGTCAGATCGATCAAATGGTCCTGTAGGTCAAGCCCCTTCCTGCCCCGCCTGGCTGCCCCATGAGTATGGTGCACATATAGATACCACATGTTTTCTGGGGACGGGGGAGTTGAGGCTGCAACCATGACAGCAAGCAGCACACGAGGCCTGCATCCTTCATGAAGGATTAACAGGCCAACTGGTGGGTCATGGTGTACGGTGGTTTTATTTTTTTGCAGTGGATGTTTCTGTATTTTCTTGAAATTTCTGCAGTGATCTGCAGTATACATAGGGCCTGGAATTCTGAAGTCTGAAAGGGAGGCAAGACTCCCATGGAGTCAAAATCACTGCATGCCTCTTGGAAATTCTCTGAAACATCCACGGAGCAGCCAGCCTTTGGCTGGCGGCCTTGGAGATCACTCTGTGAAGGCCTTGGACGTACACACCCAGTCCCTGCTCTCAGGGTGCTCCCAGGGGAATGGACATTAACCCAATAATCACACGTGATAAAGAGTAAAATTACATCTGTGACCCTCCCTCAAAATGAGAAGGAGAGCGGCTGGTAACAGAGGACCTGAGCTCGTCTGGGGGCTCTGGAGGAGGTGCTGTTTGAAGTGAGCACTCGAGTGTAGAGCGGCTGACTAGGAGTAGGGGGAACTTCTCTGGCTGTGTGTGTTGGAGGGACTGCTGGAGGCTGGTGTGGCCGAGGGGAAGGCAGGGATGAGACCCCAATGTTTCCCCCCATGGCCATTGCAGGGAGCCATCAAAGGAAGTGTTCTAGGTTGGGGGCATTTTGGAAAGATCTGTCTGGCCGCCCTGTGAGAATGAATTAGAAGGGGCCAGAGTGGCCTTCGGGACACCCGGCAGGAGGCTGTGGTGCTGACCCAGATTCGAGAAGGGGGGGCATTGCTCTGGCCAGTGCAGGGAGGTGTGGATTCTGGGGAGAAGGGGAGGGGCCCAGTGACGTGCAGAGAGCAGATGAGTGGGACTCAGAGATGGATTGTGCCAGAGTGTGGAAGGAGCGATGGGGATGACGACTTGGGAGGGTCTGGCTGGAGTGGGTGAGGCCTCGTGGGGCTCAGATTTGGGGAGACTCTGAGTTGGGTTCTGGACATGCCAAGGGGCCGGTGAGCTGGCTGGGTGTTGCTGACGGAGGCATGAGTACAGTGGAGCTCAGAGCAAGCCTCTGCCTGGGGTGGGGACCATCTGAGCCCTGTTCCCCACCCAGCACCTTACTAGGGCCACCATCTCTCTCTTGGGGTGAGGCCACATGTACAAAAGATTTGGCACCATGGACGCAAATCAGCACCACTCACTCTTCCTGGCATGACTCAGGAGAGAGATCCCAGCCTGCCCACCCGATGGTCTGTGGGCCCCTGCCGTGCCCAGAAAGGCCTGGGCCGTGGGCAAGCAGGGAGGAGGCTGAGCTTGGTCGTGGTGTGGACTGGCCTTGTCTCTTTCAGCGTAATTAGGTGCTTAATTGCACTGCTAAGGCCTGTCGATGCCTGTGCCGAGGTGATTATGATTTAT